TTTCCACGAGTGACCTCGCAGGGGGAATGGTCCCACCTCCCCGAGTCAGGGGAAGCTGGACCATAGACTGTCCTCTGGGGCAGGCGGGATGACAAGCTGATGAGGTAATCTTGGGATTTGCACGTCACCAGCTGCCAGGAAGAGTTCCTGGAAGCCCAGCCAACTGACAGAGCAGGAACGAGGAGTGAGTGTTCCTGAGCTTCACCACCTCCTGAGTTTAAGACACCCGTTCCCCAAGTGAGCTGTCCTTGAGAGCTGTTGATTTTCTTAATGTTTGGATTCATCTCCATTTTCATCTGGCACAGTTTTCAGAATCTAAGAACTTTTATTTCCTCTAAACAAGTTGAAATAAAATGTTCTACAACTGATTTTATTAACAAGCCCGTGCTCCCTCCAAACTACATTCTGAATGAAAAATATAAAGGGACTTTGCTTTTCACTCCAAGCATGTTCTCCTGTTGCACTTTGTACTGATGAACTATGACCCTGCGTGATCACCACCATCAGCAACCTCTGGGGCTTGTCAGTACCAGGTACTCACAGAGAGGTGCAGCTTTCCTGCGTCAGACTTGGCCAGGCTGCGCTCATTGTCTCACTCAGAACACTGAAGTTTAAATGTTTTACTTCATAAATCGTCTCCCATAGCTGGGGAGTTTTGTTGCTGTGGGGCTGAACTTTGTCATGTGCCTTTTGAGACTCTCTGAGCTGATGTCATACTGGAGCATCAGCTCTGGGGATGATGCAAGGCCACAAATTGTCAGTGAATGACTGACAATGGAATGCATTTAGCTGAACAAGTTTCTCTTTATCCATTTTGGGGAATACCTTAAGCCTCTTCAGGACGCCAAGATTTGTATTTTGTTTTTCTTGTTTTTCCTAGAACTAGTATTGAGGCCTGATTAAGAATAACTTTGTGAATGGGCTGCTGGAACTCATGGTTTGGTCTAGAACCTTGTCTCTCTGACCCTTACCCCTGATTTTGATACCTGTAGCATAATATTTTTGTGTCTGTCATATAAGTAAAAGCCCATGGGGCACAGTTGATTTTGTGTGATTGCTATCTTGATTCATTTAAAATGATTAGGTATTGAATTCTTTTTCCATTATTTAAAATGTTAACAAATATTGATGCAACTTTTTTATTTTTGACAAAATGTTTGAATATGGATTTTTCAGCTATTCTCTCTTGAATCTTCTTTTAAACTCATATCATCAAGGATTCTTTTTTTTTTTTTTTTTTTTGAGACAGAGC